TGATTTTAACCGCATCTTATCAAATTATTAATCGAATTTATCGTCTAAGTCTTCAATTGCATTTGCATATTGATCAGTTGTTATGTGCATACTCGTTCACTCGCAAAAAATCGCTAAATGAATCATAACAAGGAATACCATAGGCACTGATCAACTTGAATTGTTAGTAATCAAATTCAGTGGTTTGTTTTTCACTTGATGTCCACTGCTGTGCGCAACATCACTGATACAGTGTCGAGCCATCGTAATACGTCAACTGCTTGACTGATCACATCGCCGTCAATATTCTTCAAGCCAGTGAAGCTTTCAAACTGACTTTGAAAAGCAATCGCACTGGACATAATTTTTGAGATAGATCCGATGTACGTCTTCGCAAATGTTTCCAGTACGCGGGTTCGTTTGATACCTTAATTTGACACTCATTTTTTCAGGTATCCAAATGGAGTTCAGTCATTCGTTAGTGGTTCTGTTCGTGTTCAGTATATTTACGTTCGTTTGCGCATTTCCGCTAACGAATGCAGATTACAGTGACTCTGATCAATACGGTGGGGTGTTTGATGGCGACATTCCGGCATTACTTCCAATAAATCTGCTGGTCGGTTACTAGTTGATTCCCTTTAATTGGCGTTTTTTCTCACAGTTCTTATCATCTTAACGATAGTCTAACTTGATACAGTTCCAAAATGTGCTAAAAATCAGTATGACAATACTGGATATATGCAGAAACAAAAAAAAAGCTGCAGCAACCTAAAATACCTCAAAAATTTTATTCTTTCGAAAGTATTCAAAATTATTTGGCAATTTCGACGATCTGCCACTGACTAACAGTCATATCACAACATGCCTTAGGGTATGAATAATTTTATTCTTAAAACAGTACTGTTTAAAATGCAATGAAATCGTTGCATTCGGCATGAACTATTAGGCGTGAATCGATCGCAGTAATAGAACTAATGATGTGGAGTTAACGATTGAGACAACAAATAAATTCCCGAGTGCACTCCAGCATTTACTGTACTGCTGATGCGAGGAATCCTCCTTATATTAGAGGAGAACATGTTCCTAGAATTTTTGCTTACTAAAATAACAACAATGTACCTAAGCCTTAGTATTTCATGCAGTGCCATTCTTGATGAGTAATGAATACTAAGCAAGTGGAGCCAGATCAGAGATTCTTCTATTAAAAGTAGCATCTTAATTCCATCAATGAGATAAGTCCCGTCTTGTCCGTGAAACTGATAAATTAGAAATAACTGTATATTGTGTTACAATTCATGTCGTCAGTTGTGATATCGTTGTGGATTCTAAAGCTTGAATTCATTGTCTTACAACCATTATAGTTCAGAAAAAAGAACACAAGTGTCCAATGCGATCATCATCCAATAAGTGAATATTTATGTAAATGAAAGTTAAACGAGAAATAAAGAATGCATTCGTCGAAGAGTTTTCACCTGTTTAAAGTAATATTCCCTCTCAATGAAATACATTTTGCAGTCAAATTGTTCGTGCAAATCGTTTCAGCAGAACTATTTAAAACTGCAGAACGATTGTAGCAGTTTGAGGGATTTTGATCGAAATCATTTTGGAACAATACTATTCGTTGATTCGACTTTATCCGAGAGATATTTGACAACAGTGTGAATGTGAATATACAAAGTAAACTGTTACTATTTCAGCTTCAGAGGAGCGCCGCTGATCACTTGCGATGGAATCCACAACGATCAGTGAAACGTAATATCGCGATCGGCCGCGGTGATGGTTTCAGGCCTGGCAAGTAAACACACACGTGCGACTGACTGCCAACGAGGTTGAGCATGAGCATGTGCAGGAAATTTATTGATTAGATTCAATAAAAACAATGTAAACTGATAACAGCGCATGATACGAACAATGATCAATCAGTTTATTTGATCAACTAACAATTGGGTGTATGTAAAAAATAACCAAAAATGATGCTGGTCAAAATTTTTAATTGAATTTAAATGTTCGATGTTATTTGAGTGTCACTAATAAAGATTTTTAATACTCGAAAAATTAGCATCTAATTAACATAGTCAAAATCATAATTTGTTTACTTGTCTGTCCACGACTATGTAAGTGACGAGATGGGTGACGTGTGAGTGTTAAACGTAATAATTAAAATTGTCCTGCATCATTCGCTCAACACGAGCCACCACACACCTCAAAAGAACTTTGCAAAATAGTCAAATTTCTTCAGTTCGCCTGCAATTCTCGTTTGTTCATCTTGAATTTTCTCTTTGACTGTATTCAAAAGAATACGACTTCAACTCAGGTAATGACAAGCTGACAACATCAAAAATGACCTTATAAAGTGCTGATAAAAGATATCTCAATATCCCGTTGTTCAAGGCACTTCTCTTCAGAGGGAAAAATTACCCAGTGGATCAATGACTAACTAGTCAATCAATAGACGAAATGCCCTACATTACTGGCTTCTCCCTTCAGGCAATCAATGCATCTGCTCAGCAAAATGTTCCTTTCCCTGAGGCTTATTCTTAGTATCAGTTTGCAGCGAAACGTTTCACTGTCATGCGCAACCGAATGAATGCATTCACGTGCATTCGCCGATTGACGACCAATGCTTGGTTGATTGTGTTTGGATAGGATTTGCTTTGTGTTCTTCAGTCATTATCATCATCGCAATCAACAACGAACTAAAAGATATTCGCTTAGGTTGAAAATTATATGCAAATTCATCAGATATTTATTCAAGAAGCATAAGTGCCGTGACATTTCGGTCATTTGATTGATTTTTAAATCATGAATGAATGTACGTAAATTGAGATCAGTTCAAGTGAGAACGAACTCTAGCAACTCGATTTAAACAATTACTATGCCATGTTGTTGTATTTCTTGAAATGACCGTATTTCTTGAGTATTAAATCCGTTTTGGCCTCTTAAACAAAAAATTCTCACAGAAATATTTTGTCTCAAGTAAGTTGTCTCATAACTAAAAGACGTGCTCGTGATTGAGTGTGAACGCATCGAAAAAGATTCATCACGCTTGATGTGTTATCGAAACGATGCATGATGATGATTCAGTAGTGTGGAATCAGTGCAAACAAACGTCATCGCGATGCTGTCCGTACTCGTTCGATCGTGTTCGATTATATTCGATTGTGATCGTATTGTGCAATCAGAAACGCTGTTGTGCAACCGAACGTAACACATAAATACGTGGTGGAACGTTACTGACTTTTACATGCACATTACTTTTACTCAATTAACAATTATTCCTTGCTGCCGCATTACCAGCCTTCTCACTTCATCAAATTCAGTGCTTTTGAAGTGATCTGTCTCTAAATTGCTTGCTCACACCGTCATTTTATTACTGTTTAATAGCGCTGTCATGATTCCCATTGTAATCTTTTATTTTCTTCTTTTATTATAATCTTTATTTCATAATATTCTTTTATTTCTTATATCATTGCTGTTATTGTCATTCATTGTTCTTTATATCGATTTCTAGTTGCTTACCATTTCACGATTGGTTTTTGGCTACTTTTGCAAGAGGCGCCGATTTAAGCAAATTCAGATTGCGAGATTCGATAAGAGGTTTAAGGTCAGAGTTGAGTTATGCTATCTATAGATGCGAAAAGGCAACACTAGATGACCGAGAGAAATAACCGATAAAATTTGTACTGAATGCGAAACTGATCGTGAGATTACATGGCCGTTAAACACTGGTCAATCCGGATGAGGAAAGATATACACCAATGTTGGAAAGGTTACCATATGGTTCAGTGGGTAATCCAAGAAGAAAAAATATTTTCAACAATTGAATTGAACAATTTGTTTGATTCGACAGAGATGACGTGTTCTGTTCTGTTGGTGGTGTATATGCACCACCGCCGTTGTTACCATTATCGAATGAATCGATTCACAATGCTCTAAGTGAAGCGAACGAACGAATGCAAAAAGCAAAAAAAAACATTTTGAGAATGAATGGCAAACAAGAAGAACACAGCGGTGTTTGCTTGGAGTGCAATGACGAACAGATGAACAGATACGAAGAAATAGAGAGGAGGAACGTCGTCGTTCGCTGGCGAGCGATGGTGAATCCCAAATGAAAATTTCATATCCATCACTGAAAAAAAAAACGAACTGAACGACCGACCATTGCACTTCTTCGACCAAGCAACCAACATCATTGCACTCGTTCGTGTAATTTTGTTCAGCAAATAACCAACTGCACTGAAATAGTACTATTTGCTTGATAGCGTTTGTGTATTGCATTCTAAAACAGCCATCATCATCCATCCATGCACTACTTTCCTCAACGATATATGAAAATGGTGCAATAGGCGTTTTTTTTTCATCAGCTTATGTGAGATTTTGCACTTATCGATTATTGTTGTATCACGTGAAAACGCAGTCTCGTTTTCATGCATTTTCTTTCATGAGTTGTTTGAGAGTGTTTCATGATATGCATGGCGAGAGACAATAACTTCAGTATAGTGAGGTATTCATTGAGAGTGAATCGGATGAATGCATTGGACAAAGGGTGTGAATCTGGAACTGAGAATGAGGAATGTCGTTTTGTATTTGATGGTGTGGATTCGGTATGATTAAAGAAGAAGTAAACACATCGTCAGTTGTTTGACTATAATCAACAATAGTATTGTTTTTAGAATTCAATTAGTTTGGACTGATTAACGTGTAAACGCCATTGTGTCGTGCTCGTATGTGTTCATTCACTGGTTCGCAAAATCCGACGAGTCGAATGGCTCGAGGAAATTTTCTCAAAATTTTCGAATTTCAGTTAAAATTCCCTCAGAAATGCCTACAAACGCTTTAGCACTCCCAATGCCCTGTGATATATTGGACGGTTGCACACTGCGTAATCCGTGTCAGTCGCGTACGTCGCAAGATTCTTCGAATGAACCACAGCCATCCACTTCACACTGGGACAATCAGCTTTGTTTCGTAACCAACGAATTCTTCGAGGTGCGCCCAACTTTAGCGAATTCTAACATTCTCTCTCCCCCCCCCTCCTCTGAGAAGTCTCCGTCTCAATTCTGTCCAATTTCATAATATCTTCATGTCACGGATTTTTGCTTATTCAGCAAGCTATAACGCTGCCAGCAGTGCGGTTACTTCACTATTTTTAGGAAGCAGTGAAGTTGCGTTCGTTACGAAGACAAATTTTGCAGGAATATAGGAAGGATGCAGATTTGAAGTACGATTTTTATATTGAAGAGTACACAATTCAGTCTGAAGTGTACATGGAGAGCGAGCCGTTTGATAATCAGAAAGGCGGATCGCTCAAATGGCGATTGAGGATTTATCCGCGTCGTTAGTTTTTTTCAGACATCGTTAACATTTTCTCTGAATTTGTTTGTTCGTCTTTCATTTCATATTGATGATTCCTTCTTCAAGCTTGTAAATCTTCCAGAAATTCCATCCAAATGGTATAATATTTCTGAACTGAAATTCATATTCACTCGCAAAATTCTGCCCCATCTAATAAAGAATTCATTTAGCTCATTGCACAAGTGATGTATAGCATTGTGACAGATATTTAATGGGTAACACTAAAGATTGATTAATCGTCACTTAATGACTCGTCTACTTGGTTAATTTATCAACCGTTCACCTGTCACATATTTCAGTGCCTATGGATGATGGCCATGAATATATTGGTGTGTTTTTACGACTTGAAGAGTGCCAACACAAAAGAGTAATGGCTTCGTTCCGCTTCTCATGGGTTTACAGTCTCGACGATACCGACGAAGTCATTCAGTATGTCGGTAAGATTCACATCTTCATTTACATCTGTGCAAAAAACCTTGTCTAAAATCTATTTTTTCTGAATGCTCATCTATTTTCTGAATGAATGAATGAAATGAATTTGAACGAAATCTGTTTGAATCTATTTTTTGAATGAATGCTCATCGTAAATTACGACTATTTTGTAATCAGTTCAGCTCCAACGGTGATCTATTGTTAAATCAATATTCGAATAGTTATCCAAATTTGAAACGAAGTTTTTTTGATGAAATGTGTCGCGATAAAGTGGCGCATCTAATATTTAAGAGGAGTTTCGTTGTTTTTCGGTAACTGTCGAAAATCGTCGATTGAAAATAATAGTGCTTGTGAAGGGTTACACCTATCATAATGTGATTTCGTCACACATCAATGTTCATTTTTTGTTTTTTAGAGACGCCGTGTGCACAGCTCTTTTATAAGAACAAAACACTCGGTTATGCAAAATTCTTGGATCGTAATGTGGTGATGGAAACATTGCGCGCCTTTAATCAGCAGCCTTACGATGACGACGATTATGATGAGTTCGATGGTGAATTCGGCAATTTACATCTTGTTTGTGAGGTTCGATTATTACTCTCAAGAAGCTTGTTGTGACTTGTGGTTGTTCACTTGTAGATGGTGATCATGCATTGATCAACGTGTTGCCTGAATTTGACATTAATCGTTTATGAAGTGTTTTTGGTTGAGATGGCGATTCGATAACAAGCGATTTTCGAGAGCGCCTTAATTAGATGTGCTTTCATGACTGTTTTATTTGTTTCTTTCACCCAATGAATTCTAAGGATCGTCTTCGTTATTAACTTGAAAATGATCATAGTTTCAAATGCACTTGTTTCATTCAGCTCCATCAGTCTTGTTTCCCTCAATGCACAACGTTTTATGTGTGAAACAGTCTATTCCTAAAATTTCAGTTTGAAGAATTTCTGTTATCAAATACAGGGATTGCTGAGCATCATCATAACCATTCCAGACACCGCAGTTCAGTGAACATTTCTATCAACATAATTTTTTTTTCAGATTAAAGTCGAGTCACAGTCCGAGGAGTTGGATTTAAGG